TAATTTTTGACAGTTAGGGGTAGTTTTCACCCCTAAAACCCTTCAGCGCACTTCGGTTCGATATAGATTTTGATCCTTGGGCTATCACCTACCTTCTGTTAAAATTTCAACTGGATAAATGTAGGACGAAAAAATTGCGAGGTTTTAACTATTTTCGAGCTGCATTTCCTGAACTATTATCGTTTCCTTAGACAAACCCGTCTTACGCAAACAACATTCAAACACACATGTATTAAATTGTATGTTCCGTTTTAATTTGGTTCAATCTGTATATAAAGAAAACCTAATGTTGTCCGTATAAATTGTGGCGTCTTTTTTTAATTATTAATAATTTAGTGTAAAAAATGCCATTGTTTCGATGTTTTGTTTACCAGTAAAAAGCTTAATGTTTGAGGTAAAATTAGAAAACTTTATCTTGTAAAACATGAAAAAACGGTAAAATAACGATTTTTAAAAGTTGTACAATTAATTCAAAAACTGCAAAATAAGACAAAAACATTAATTTATAAGTATATAACTATTGTAAAACTCAACCCAGCATTTGATATTCCGCCCAAAGTTGGGTATTGGTGCCTTTTTTTCCCTTACATAAAGAGTTAGAACTTAACAATAGAAGATTAACTATAGCAATAGCTAAATAAAAATAAACCTAAATCCATTCAAAGTAAAATATTAGATGTTTGATATGAGGTTGCAGTGTTTGAGAAAGGAGAAAATATTTTTAGTATCAGTGTCTTTTCCAAGAGCACAATTTAATGTTGATGGTATGTTATACATTTTCCGTTGCACATCGAACTTGTGGCACTGCAATAAACAATGTTTTACCATTTAGACACTTTTACACATGTCACACACACAGGTTTATCAGCACATTTTAGTAAATAGTCGTGTGTTAACCGAGTATGGCCAATCCGGAGGAGAGTGAAGGTTACTTAATGTCTTCTATTGTTAAATTTTGTGAATTTTTTATCATCATCAACATCATCAATGGCGCTACAACTATTCGTGAGTCTTTGCCACGTTTACTATTGCCTTTCATGTTTGTCGGTCCTATGCCAGTAATTCCCATTGTCGCACTTCCATCTTTTCTAGATCTTCTCTGACTGCATCTTTCCACCTTTTTCTAGGCCGCACTACAGACCTTCCATCTGGCCTTTCCCAGAATCTGAGTTTATTGGCCTTTATATGAATATATATCCCATCTGAATTTTTTATGAATAATATCAACTTCGTCCAGCTTAGTTGGGGAGTTCTTCCATGTATCCTGCCATATTGAATTAATCTTTTCTTTAAAGAATGCTTTCAGGTCGGTGTAGAGAGATTTCGTATTCTCTTCTGCGTTTCGGTTAGTAGGTGCATTTTTTGCTTTTTTGTCTTCAACCTCGTTTCGTTCGATTCCAGTATGTGACGGTACCCATATAAAATTAACTTTAATGTTCATATTTTCTGCATGTTTTAGTTCCTTTTTAATAAGAAAGAGTAGTGGATGATTACAGTAGAGTTGGTTTATTGCCATTATTGAGCTGAGAGAATCTGTAATAATGATATTTCTCTTTTTATTTTTGTTAACTATCAGAACTAATGCTTTTAGTATCGCATACAGTTCAGCTGAGAACGTTGTTGTATATGAAGGTAATTTGTAAGCTTCTTTATAATCTGATGACTAGATTGCTGCCCCAGTTTCGTTTTCGTTCTTGGAGGCATCGGTGTAAACTTTGAAACAGCTATCATATTTGCTTAATATTTTAAGAAACTCTTGATTAATTTAACTTGCTGGCGTTTCTGATTTGTTTAGTCGAAGTAAGCTGGTGTCAGTAGAGGGAAGTCGAATTGTCCAAGGAGAACGTGTTTGAATTGGGAAGATATCGTAGGTGTCTGGAAAATGGATACCCATTGTTAACAAGTTGGTATGTAGGCGGTAATAGAAAGGGTGATCAGTTCGATTTGAAGTTTGAAACAACTTTTGAAGTGGTCAGCGAATACGTTGTTTATAACAGCATTATCTTGATTAGACGATACTGGATACGATACAATACAGGTCTTTGAATAACATCTATTATTTTTAAGTATGTTTTTTTGGAGAAGTTGTAAACAAATGAGCCGTAGTCCAGTTTAGAGCGTACTAGAGCCTTGTAGATATGTAGTAATGTAGAAGATTCGGCGGTTATTGGAGTCTTTAACTAACCCTCAAAATTTCAGATCGATCCATTCATTAATTTAAAAGTTATTCTATTTGTTTATTCCAGAGACCTTTTTGCAGTTACGTTAATCAGAAAATGATGAAGATACAGTAATTTTACGCATACCAAATGAAAGTTTAAGAGTTAAAAACTATCAATATACACCAAAAAAAAGTGAAAACATTTTTACACCGCAAAACCCTTTTGTAAAATTACATGTACCTATTTTTGATTTATAAACATTTAGAATAATTTTTGAACTATTGCTACTTTTTTATATTTGAAAAGCTGCATTTTTACACAAATTATAAAAAAAGTTGTTCTGCGATAATTTGGGGTAAAGTTAGATTTTTTGTAAATATACAGCTAATTTGTTTTTAACTCACTTTGAAAAATTAAAATCGGTTAGCCAGGATAGTATGGGAAATTTTTTAAAGTTATAAACATTTTTTTCAAATTACACGTCATTTTCAAATAAAAATATATTTTCAAATTTAATAAATTATTACTTATTATAAAACTGCTAAAATAAATTAATTTTAATATGTAGTTTATTTTAAAAAAGTATAATTTTTATTATAAGTCATAGTTTTTAAAGTAAATTTAAGAACTGTTAATCCTCAATAGGAATGGAATGGGTATTAGCTAATGTTGAGCAAGGTTTTTGAAAAAGGAAAACACGTAAGTTTAATACGAGATTTGGAAGAGAAAGGTTGTTTTGATATTCTTCGTATAATTATTAAAGAAAAAAAAATTTGGTCTTTTTGCCGGTTGGATAAAAGTTTATTTTTTAAATACAAAAGAGATCTGAGGCTGTCGATGTCTTTTTGAGAGTTCGTCAGATTGGAAAGGTTGTAAGCATAAATTTATTGTCAATAATATCTTTCGGCAAAGATCTATCCAGAAGGAGAGTACTTTGAGCTAGGAGAAGCAGAATCTTAAGAAGAGGAAGCCCAGTTAATTTAAAGATTAAATTTTAATTTAAAAATTTTCAAAATACTCTCTCTGTGGAGAAGAAAGTGCTGCAATATGGGCATCCCAATCGGAGATGATAGATTGTACACGATACACTTCGCTGACGACCAAGCCATTCTAGCTGAAGACGAGAGTGATATAAGCTACATGCTTAGAAAACTGGAAGATGAGTACGCAAAATGGGGCCTCACAATTAATATACAAAAAACTGAGTACTTAGTTGTAGGAGAAAAACCAGAAAGCCTACAAATCGAAATGGGAACTATAAAACCAACAGACAATTTTAAGTACTTGGAAGTCCAAATAACATCAAAAGCAGGAAGTAGCGAAGAAATACATTCAAGGATTGGCCAAGCAAGATCAGCCACAAGACAGCTACACGGACTATTATGGAATAAAAAAATAACAAAAGAAAATAAAACAAAAATTTATAAAACAATAATAGAAAGTATTGGACTGTACGGCGCCGAACTCTGGGAAATAAACCAAAGAAACAAATCAAAAATTAAGGCCATGGAAATGAACTACTGGAGACGATGTCGCCAAGTCTCGTCCAAATAAAAAATTGTTTTCCCTTCTTCTAGGTACTTTATAATAGTTCTTAGATAATCTCGTCTCCAACATACAACGTAATCTTTTTCAATTAAAACGGATTTTCTTCTATTCTTTTGCCAACGAAATCCCATCTCTCTCAATAGTCCCCATAATTTCTTAATGCTTATGATTGGTAACTCTTCGTTTTCTCTAATTAATGTTTGGATTTTGTCCAATGTAGGAAATTCTTTGTTAAAAAAAAAATGAGTGGACGCTGCGTCTTATCATGTTTTTATGTACTTCTTCAATTTCCAAGGGCTTACTCCCTCCACTTTTCTTGGGAGATAAAACAGTTCCTCCTTTTCTTTCTTTTAGAAATCTATAAATTGTTGCTTCTCCAACCCCTGTCATATTTTCATATTTGAACACATGTTAACGATTTCACGAACATTACTTAAAGAGCGTTGATGTACAAGTGCATCGTGTACATTTAATATTATATTTTTCTCTCTTAGACTGAAGGCACCTTTAAAACTACACTTAACCGGGATAAAACCTGTTGTCGACGTCATTTTTAGATACAAATAACAAAATATCGACACCAAAAACGTAGTTAGGTAGCACATGAAAAATGTACATCTACAAACTAAATGGAAGATGCAAACAATTTCTAATTTATATTATTGGCATAAGCTGTAATGTGGCATAAAAACTACTTAAACTATCATTAGTGAAGTCTTATCAGTAAATCCAGGTAATCGTTCAAAGAAGGTATTCTTTTTGTGTCAGGCGATAACTTGTATAGAAAACAATAATCACCTTTAAATTACTGTTTACATTAATTTATTTCGTGAAACATTGAATTCTCTCGTTAATTACCCGTGTATAATTAACAATAATCGTGTGTATTAACAATAAATCAACGTTTTTTGCGCACAAAAAAGGTATAGTGAGATTAGTGGACACTTATTTTACAGAAGATTTTTTAAAAGATAATGAATTGTTGACAGCATCTTAAAAATATTAATTTTTTTTATTTATTTCAAAACAAGTATAGGGTGACGCCTATGGTTTTTTGACCTGTTGAGGATTTGCATACATAATGTGCTATCAATATGATGGAAAAGGACTTTAGTTACATATTTACTTATTTGCTCACACCAGTACTTTCATTACTAATATATTTTAACATTTTTGTTGATATGTATACGCGATTTTAACTTTCATTAATTTGACCTCTATTATTTACAAATAATATATTTCTCAGTTCTTCCTACATTTTTTATGCTATTTAGAACAATTTCACATTACCTATCTCGTAAACAAGGGATCCATCCCCCAGATCAACGTCCATTAATCCTTGTTTGGTACATAATGCCTGATTTACTTCAACTCTTCTTCCACTTTTTAGAGGGAAAATACACATCTTTTTTACTTTTCCTACCCGTTTCCATTCCGTATCCATAATTATTTTATTGACAGCACTTTTCCTTAGATTATTTATTAAAGCAACACTCTTAACGAATTCCACACAACGCACTATCTATATAATGTAATAGTAAATAACGTTGACCTTATAAACCTCGGTAGATAATACTTGACAGTTACAATGTGATCATTTACAACTGAAAAATAATAATTTTGTTCACCGTTTATAAATGCGGTAACTTCTAAGCTACTAAAAACAGGACCGGCTTAGAATACTTAATTGACATTAACTTTAATTAAGTTACATAAAAAAATACAAAACGAAACATTTGATACATTATTCAGATGTTGTTATCCTTATACGTATTATGCTTATGCAATTTTTTTTAGTTTTTATTGTTATGATAATAGCATGTATATACAGGGTATTTTTCTTTGGTCGCTTATTAGTTTTATCTTGGAAAATAATCGGATTTGAAATCGATAAACTTATAAGTGTACATAAATGTAACTGATATCCAACTAAAGTATATGCAGTTTGCTCAAATTTTTTAGTTGGTGATTATTTTCAATATTTGGTTTAATTTTCAATGTTTTAAACATATTTTTTAGTTATTTTTGAAAAAAATTTGTTATAAATTTATTTTTCTAGCATTAGTAAATTAAAGTAAAACATTACAAGGGTATTTCCTAAAATTTTGTTCCAAAAATATTAAAAATTCAGCCACTGTTAGCTATTTTTCCAAGATGCAGAAAGGTCACTTTGCGGTGTTTATCGTTACTCATAACTGGATCATGTGTTGACACAAATCCAAACAGATTTAGTTAATGAGTTACCGTAGGTCGTAACATCGAGATATTTCACATAACATCACAAAACGTTTTCGGAATAATTGTTCCATCATCTTTGGTGCTATTCGTATAAGTATTTAGAATTAAACAAAAACTTGGGAAATGCAAATCATATTAGATACACATGAACTAATATTTATTTGGTCATAATTGTATATATTTGTTTCCTTTTTTAGCATTCCATCGTCCATTTTTAGACATACGCCTCTCTCAACTCCTCCCATTTATCTCTATCCTAAGCAACATATTTCCAATTTGTTCCGGAACTTATCTTTTTATGTCATCTACCCATCCCATCTGTGGCCTTCCTCTTGGTCGTCTACCTTTCTCGTCTTGGTCGTCTTTAATGTTGTATTGTAGCGTTCCAAAGTTGGTATTTTTGTCTAGAAATGTGACCTACAAAGCTCCATTTAAGTTTGGCAGTTTTGTTGTCATATCATCGACTTTTGTTTTTGATCTTACTCAGTCGTTCTCCTTTTTATCTGATAGTCATAGAAAGGATGCACTGGTTCTTAAGTAACCAACTGAGTTTTCCAAATCCTGCCCTTATATTTATTATACAAATATTATTATATAATTCTTATAGTTTATTTTATCTTGAATATAGATTGATCAGACTCTAAGCCAGACTCCTGCTGAGTAAGCTATACTTGTGTTACTTATAATCCAATGTTACATTCAGTTACAACATCAAAATAAATATAGATCTCTTTGAATGAAGATGTGTCTTAGCTACATAAAATTCAAAATAATCTGCCAAGTCTTTCTTCCACCGAACAGAATTAATGGCTTTTCTCCAGAATGATGTATTTCCCTGTCAATCCAACATATACCTTTACAAGTGATTAAAAACATTAGAGTGCAGAATACAGTCAGATAAGATACACTCTAATAAGAACTTAATGATTGTAGCCGGTTGAATTCTTCATTACGTGCCTGTATTTTTATTTAACTATGTCTTTTGATTATTAATTTATATCCTTACCCTCCCTCAATGAAGTTCCCTGACTTAAGCAACGTGGTCTTCGTTAAGTTTTGTGAATGAAAAGCTTTTTAATATCAACCTTTTGTTTTTTTTTACATTACACAAGAATTGTGCCGCTAACGTGGCACTTGCTGCTTTTGTATGACACATAAATAGCTTTGTGGACCATGTAGCTTGTTTTGCATGTTTGACTAATAGCTTTAATTTTACCATCGGACAAAAGTAATTGTAGGGCATTTGCAGGAAATCTTTGAGTTAGTATTTAAGCGTAGAGCTAAATTGACTGAAATATTGAGAAATTGCCCTCCATCATCCAAAACCAAGTTATCAACTGTTTGTTTTACTGGTGGTGAAAGGAACTTGTTACCTAGAAAACTAAATAGGCCACTTCTTGGACGACAGCTTTCTGTCTCTATATATCTATATTGCGTCCTGCGCCTTCCAGTTCCCAGTCTCCATTTATGTATATCGACCCAGACTCCTGGTCGTAGAACTCTCTCTGACATTGACTTTTGGACTCCATTAAGCCATGTTGTTTTCGGCCTTTCTCGTTTTTTTTCGCTCAGGTGACTGCCAATCAGAACAGAACAGGGGCTGCCCAATACAGAAGGGTGACGGTCAATGTCGACGGAACAGATCTAGAAAGAGTAACAAGAACAACGTACCTTGGAAGTAATCTTGATGAAACTTTCCATTCACTAGAGATAAGAGTACAACTGGAAAAGGCACGTACAATGTTTTACAAAATGCAAAAAGTTCTATGCAACCGCCAGCTGGGCATCTGATTGAGAAATAGAATAATTAAGTGCTATGTTTTCTCCAACTTGCTCTATAGTGTTGAAGCCTGGGCAATGACAGAAGAAACACAAAAAAGAATCCAAGCATTCGAACTCTGGTGTTACCGTAAAATGCTCAGAATATCCTACATAAGCCATACGACAAATGCGGAAGTCTTGCGGAGGATGAATAAGGAAAGAGAGCTTATACTTATAATAAAAGAATGGAAAACACAATATCTTGGTCACATCATAAGAAATCAAAAGTATGAACTGCTCCAACTTATAATCGAAGGCAAAGTCAATAGCAAGAGAGGAATAGGAAAAAGACGCAACTCTTGGCTTAAAAACCTGCGGCAATGGACGAACATGACCTCCATAGAACTATTCAGGGCTGCTACAAATAAGATTAAATGGGCAAATGTAATGGCCAACGTCCTTAAGGATAAGGCACCGTAAGAAGAAGAAGAAGGCTGCCAATCCAATATTATCTTCGATAGGCGATGGTCTATCATTCTCTATACATGTCCTTACCAAGTAAGCTGTGTTTGCTGTATTTTTTCTATGATTGTGGTTGTTCTCTACGTAATTTGTCTACCTGCTGATCTGAGCCACAAATCCATTTCCAGAACAAAACTTTTTGTTTCGTTCTTTTAGTGAGTTGCTAGTTGTCGCACCCAAAAACTACAACGTTTTTAAAGTGTTCCAACTGCCCCCCCCCCCAGTACTTATAAAAAAATCTCATGGAAACGAATCTCAAAATAGAGGAAATACCGGATGGAACACTTGGACGATGGCCACGGCGACGAAACAGGTTAATGAATTTTGAAACATGGAACGTAGATTTGTCCATATTTTTAGCGGTGTACCAAAAAACAAGAGAGTAACGAAGTGGTTATATATATATATATATATTTATATATATATATATATATATATATATATATATATATATATATACTATATTGAACTATACTTATTGAACAAAAACTACATAACAGAACTTTAACTTTACAGTATGTAAAATGAGGCACGGTTTGGCAAGACTACTTAATTACCAAATGGAAAAGGTGGCCAGAATACGCCTATAAAAACGGAAGAGGCAAAATCCTAACCCTTGCATTGCAAAAAACGAAGAACCATCTAACGTACGTAAGGGAAGAAAAATATGGTTAAAAAGCTTTAATTCTCAGAAAGAAAATCAGACAGTCATCGTAGCTGTTTTGTTATATTTTTTAATATTTTTTTACAGAAAACCAGTTGATTAATTATATATTAAAATCTAATCTTGAAATATGGAAAAATTATTTTTAACGTGAACAATTAACGCACAATTTTTTATTTTGATGATATTATTAATTACTAGGAAAGAACTTCAATTTGGTTTCACCAAATAACGTGGAACGATCTAAAAACTAAATTAATACAAATTATTACCATAAGTAATATAAAAACTTCGAAAAAAAAATGTCAAGCTGTTCTGAAGCCATAAGAAAATAAATAATCAATTGTATACACACAATATTCTTTTTATTTTTAGAAGCTTTGCCAAACATATTGAGTATAATTTTATGTACGGAATCTCAAAATAGATCAGCATCTCTTATGGTACCACTCTCGGAGATTACAGAACTAGGATGTTGCTTTTCGACCTATATAGTAATTTTTTTCTTCTACATCTTCTTTATAAATATTAAGCTGCAGACGGCCAGCTACCATTTCTCTATATCTTATCTCCTTTATTTAAAACTTTCTCTCTCAAGTTCTCTGCCACAAAGTCCTTCCATTTTCTTCTCGTTTTTCCTCTATCTCTCTTTCACCCAACTTCAGCTTTATCATTCGTACCATAATCCTCATTTCAATGTCTGACGTGGCGAAACCATTGCAGTCTTTGTACCAGCCTCTACCTGTGTGCAATTCCCTTCTTCTTCACGTGCCATCTCAGCTACGAAGGTTGGCTATCATCATGGCAATTTTTGACCCTGGAGGCAGCCGCTCGGAACAATTGTATGGAAGTGCAAGCAAGGCAACTCCCTGAGGTTTCTCAACCATGACATTCTTCTCCTACCTATGCTGCGCCTACCTTCAATCTTTCCTTGCATAATTGTTGGTAAAGTTGATATTTATTCCCACGCGTAATGTCCCAGGTATTGTAGTTTCCTCATTTTAACACTCAATACGACCTCCTTTTGTTTGTTTATCCTGTCTAATACAACTTGGTTAGTTATTTTATCCTTCCAGGAGATTTTTAACATTCTTCGGTACGCCCACATCTCAAATGTCTCCAGCTTACCCATACATTGCTTATTTAGTGTCCACGCCTCTACCCCATATAACAGGACCGAGAAAACATAACATTTAAGCATTCGTATTTTCAGCTTTAGGCTTAGGTTATGGCTACACAACATTTGTTTCATATTGTTAAAGGCACTGCGAGGTAATTGTAATTTTGTACTCGTTCAATGAGATTCTGTCCTACATGTAAATTGATATTATTGATACGTTTCTTTGTAATTATCATGAATTTGGTCTTCTTTGTATTCAGTGACAGATCAAATTCTTCACTTGCTTCTACCACTTTGTTTAGTAATCTCTGTAGGTCGTCAATATTTTCTGCTATGATTCTGCGGTATCATCAGCATATCGGATATTGCAAATGGGGTGACCGTTGATCTTTATTCCGGCTTTTTCGTTCATAAGAGCTTTTTTAATAACTTCTTCCGCGTAGACATTGAACAAGGTTGGAGACAACACACAGCCCTGCCGAACACCTCTTTTGATCTGTATTCTATCTGATATCGAGCTGTTAATTCGTACTGTAGCTTTTTGTTGTAGTATAGCAATTCCCTTACTCATGTTAATTTTTTTCCAACCAATTTGAGGTCCTCAACCGTTTATGTTTCTCGCAGCAACATATATTCCATTAAGTTAACTTAGCATGCCTTCTAATCTAACGCAGTCAAACGGTTCAGTCAGATCTGCAAAGCATACTGAGGCAGTATATTCCAATTATTTCTTACTAATTTGTCTGGCTATGAATATATCTAATTTTCGATATTTTCGGTGACGTTTCTAAATTTCTTGTGCACTCAAAGGCCCACTTCTATGCATGCATGACCTCCTTTGTCCGTTCAGCTGTAAATGAGTAGACATTTTGATAGTTTGATGTTTTTCCTTTCTTCGTAGTTTTTGATAGTGCCCATATATCGATTTTTGATTTCTTTGATTTCTTTGATATTTGATTTCTTTTTTTCCACTATTTAATATTCCAGCATGCTATCCAAGCCTTTGTTATCGGTTCTGTGAGCGTGTCTTTTTTTTTCCTGGGTAGATTGCTGGTCACCTTAGAACTCTCCTCTTTTATCCGGGCTTTTAACCGACTCACCTGCTGGTAACCTTTCCGATTATAGAGTTGTTCTGTCCCGAACAGAGTTGTTCTTTTTCATCGGTGTAAAATTATTTTATTTCCTATTAAGTCAACGCAGTTCATTTGTAATAGTCTCCGCAAACTTCCAGGGCTCGCTTACGGCTCGTCATAGAATCTTCCTGCCTCGACATGAAAAATACCACTTTCGTCTTGTATCGTAAATTACTATTTCTGTTTTTATTTGCAAACCGCAAAAATTACTATTATATCCGATTAATCACCAGAAAAAGCTTTAAAACAATGCAGGTATATATTTTGCTAAAATTAAACATTTACATTTATATACGTCGCACAATGAACATTACCGAATTGTTTTTAAAATACATATAAAATAGATAAAAGTCACTTAATTAATAATTTCCTACGTAAACATCGTCATCGAGAGTAACTTTGCCAGTTTGAATTACTTCCAAGTAAATACCCATAAGAGGATCTTTCTTTGGTCCCTTGCTTACACGATACCTATAACAAAATTTTAAAATAAGTAAACATCTAATCTAGGTAAATGACAAAATAAATAAAACAACGGGCATAAATGAAATTGGAAAGTTAACAAACATTAGATGAAAGAAAAAGAGAGGAAGAGAGAGAGAGAGAGAGAGAGAGAGAGAGGGAGAGACATTTATTGTTTCTAAAATGAGTGTCATTTAGAAAACACAACATGACGCAGTACAAACAAAATACAAGATACATTAATATACTACTAATTATAAAATTTCCCTAATAACAAAGCTATCAATTAGCGCAACTGTCCTCAAAAAATTCCTTGACACTATAGTAACATTAACACGTAAATAATACAAACTGTTTGATTGCTGTACAAAGATATTGCTTAAGGATCTTATATCAAGTGGTAGGTGATTAAAACTTTCTTTCCAGTGACTATAAATGATTTTTTGGTGAATGTAGAAGAGGGAATTGGTAGTGGAATAACACAAATTAGACGAGTGTTATAAAAAGAATCTGTCCTAACATTCTCTTTGTGTTTTTAAAAATTAAGCACGCTATTCAAGGATATTTATATATATATTAATATATATATATATATATGCAAGAAAGTGTCAAGCACCATGTTTCCGGAACAAAGGTCTGCATGATGTACCAAACTTGACCGTGCATATATATCTGAGTGCTCTCTTTTGTAGCATAAATAGTCTGCTGAAATGATGAAGAGAACAGCTGCCCCAAATGGCAATATCTTATCTCAAATTAGATTCAATCAAGGTCACATAAACACTTTTGCAATTTTGAAATCTAAGTGTTGTGCAAATGATTTGACAGCAAAGTAACCCGATGATATATTTTTATTTAAATATATAGTGTGTTGCTCAAATTCAAGTTTATCATTAATATAGAGACCTGAAAATTTGTTTACGGTGACAAAACAAATGCCTTCATTGCCTACAGTAATGTTGTTTAGATCGTTCTTAAAAGAAATTAATTTGGTTTTTAAAAAATTAATGTCAAACGATTAGCTTTGCACCACTTCAAGATTTTTAGCAGATCAGTACTAATAATCTCATTCTAGAATCATTGTGGTCATTGTTTAAAATTGTGGTGTCCTTTGCAAATATAGCAAACCGGCCATTAATGTCGAGGTTAATTATGTTATTAAAATATATCGAGAAAAAGGTAGGAGCCAAGACAGAACCTTGAGGTACGCCACAATTAATAAAGATATTACTAGAGTACCGCTCATTGATTGATACAGACTGGCATCTATCTTCCAAGTAAGAACTGAATCAAGTTAGAGCAGTGCCTCTAAAACCATATCTTTTCAGTTTATTAAGAAATATTTTGTGATTGAGAACCAAAGGCTTTAGAGAGATCACAGAAAACCGCAGCAGCAACATAATCTTTATTTAAGTCTAAGTATAGTTTTTCTATAACGACGTTACGAGTACCTTCCATTATAAGTTCTAAGTAAAATGTGGACGTTGCTAAGAATGTTCCGCACACCATGGACAGATAGGGTGAGAAACGAGGAAGTCTTAAGAAAGGCAAATACTGAGAGAGAACTACTCAATTTGATCGAGTATGAAAAAATTGGATATTATGAGAGGAATAAAAATACGCAATCCCTTAACTAATTATCCAGAGAAAGAAATAAAGGCAAGAGAGTAGTAGGTCGCAAACAAATGTCGTGGCTACGGAACATAAAGACAGGCGTAAATATTACTGGCGATCTTTTGCATGCCGCAAAAGACAGACGTCTGGCCTTAAGATAATTCGCCAACGCACTTTAGGTGCACGGCACTATAAGACGAAGACAGTTTTTCTATGAATTTGAAGATGGCATCATACACACTTTTTAATGACTGAAAACCGAATTGAAAGGAAAAAGTAAATTGTGTTTTTGTAAGAAAGTGATCATTCGGATTGTTACCAATTTTCTACAACCTTTAAAAGCGACGGTAACAAAGAGATGGGACGATAATTAGCAGGTAAAACGTGGTCACCACCTTTATACAGAGGAAAACCTCAGCAAATTTCAAGCAATCACTAACGTGACCTGTTGAAAAAGACGTGTTAATTGTCTCCGCTAAAATTCTCAAAATACTATCAAGAACATAAGATAAATCTTTAGATGAGACATCATCCCAGTCTGCAGCCATAGGATTTTTAATGCTTTGTACAATATTTTTTATTTCATTCCAGTTAGTAGGAAGAAAATAAAAGGAATTTATAATATTCATTCCATTTAAAAAATGCAGTGGATCAGAAAAAGGAATAATTTTTCTAGTGAGTTCTGGACCTACCGAGCAGTAATATTTATTCGGCTTACTAGGGTAAGACCATGTCATTAGTTTTGGGACCTTTAGCTCTAAGATTATTAACTATACACCAAGACTTCTTTTTATTGTGCCGTCTGCTAACGAAGGTTGGCCATCATTTATTTAAACGCTTCCCTATCTTTTGCAACGTGAAATATCTGTTCAATACTGAGTTGGTCCAATCTTCCCAAGCCTATTCTTTCCTTTACTCTTTCATTGCATGATGACGTGCAGAAGAGAGTATTTCTTCCTATAGATGGACCTATATTTAGAGAAATAAATAAAAAATTTAATATTGCATATTATATACGTTTTTTAATGTAGTTTAACGATTTTAAGTTTTTGCGGGAAATTAGAGTCCTTGAGGAACCCTATTTTTTATTTAAAAATTCTTTTTTGAAATGCCAAATTGAAAATCTTTATGAGCGTGTGATGAAATTGATGGAGCATATTTTGTACATAATTTGATAAATCTGTCAAAATTACATTTGCTGAAAATCCTACCCCATCTGGCTGTTTAAGGTGGATCCTTAAGCAGCTCTTGAGGACTAATCAGCGATGAAGACAAATTACTGCCATTATTAGAAAAACTCAAGAATAGAAATATAAAGATATCATTCACTGAGTAGCAGAATCTGAGAATCTGTAATGAAAATAATTAAAAATAATAAACATGTACCATTTTATGTTTTATTGTACTTTATTGTACATGTAACATTTTATTCTTGTCAGATAGGTCACAATAGACGAAATGCCCCTGAAGATGCTCTAGGGAGCGAAAATACTTAGGCAAGATTTATTTAATTAAACTGTGCACGATATTTGCCTTTCACTTGATCAAAGATAATTAAGTTATTTTAGTTAATAGAACTCTTCGAACAGTAGGTAACCCACAAAGACGCTGCAGCTGCGTTTGATCCAGCGCCACACTACGTAGAGCAATATCCTGTCGCCAAACCAGTGGTTACCATGATTTTGAGATGCTGGCCTAATTTAGCTTCGAGGGGGAGGATTTCTTCACTAAAGCAAAGAAATTTAACTGATTTAAAAAAAAGTAAAATTTGAAAAGTTTATTAAAGTTAAGTATTTGAAATAATATTTTAGTATCATTTTTAGATATATTAAGTAGTGGTTCTTAGATTACTGGATATTATTTTCCTCAAACCTATTGCCAAATTATGTTTGGGATTATGGGGATTTTCGCATTACCGGGACTCTACGGTACTAAAATCTTTATATTTATACTGCTAAAAGGGGACTAAAAATGCAAGCAAGGGACAGAACAGAATGGCGTAGAAAGCTTGAGAAGGTCGAGGCTCTCCAAGGGCTGTAGCACCAAGATGATGAAAAGGGGTAAAAACTTAATAAACGTAGAAAAATGTAATAGGGTATAAATATACATTCATGATATAAAAATATACATTGTTGAAAAACCTAAATATTAAACTAAATTTTACTAATGAATCTTACAGAAGAATTTGTCTGCAGATTAAAAAAAATATGACTACATAAATAATTTTAACAGAAAATAAAAAAATTTAAATTTAAGGTTATTTTACTTACGTTCCCAATGTTCTTAAGGGCTCTCTATCACTTCTCCGAACTCCTTTGTCCATATCCACAGTGGTCATTAGGCATCGTATACATTCCAAAACATTTTTAAATATAACATCTCCGATTTTTAAATACTCCCACTGATCTTCTACAAATGGCTCTAAATTATCGTCGTCTACAAGAATATTTGGTCTAAAATTATTCTCATTTATCTCAGAAATACCAGATTTCTTTTGAAAATCTCTTATGGATGCAGCGTTGTTAAGCATAACAGCACATATGTTTGAACTTAGACCCTACAATGGTATTTTCTTGTAATTAAAATCAATAAGGGAGAAACATTTTGATTTTATTTTAAATTAATTATAAAAATATATACTTAAAAAATATACAATAAAAAAAAGAACTGGGTATATAAGAAAAAGCGACAACGAGGACTGTCAAAATATTTTATTGAGGGAACTGTCAATAATTTTAGCTCCGAATAAAAAGTGTTTTTTGTTGGTTTATGCCAACTATTAATAATAGCTTTGTTACTTAAAATGATATTAAACTGATTTTCTAACCAGAGAGAAGAAAAATTGTAAGTACAGTGTTTATTTAATTCATATAAATCACTTGAAACATATTGCATTGACAGAAACAAAGGATCCATGTTTATTTTTTTAAAATCATATAAGTCGAACTAATTGTTAAAAAACTAGTACAGACAATGTACCCCAATGCCGTAAGCAATTTTAATTTATCATCTACAGAACAAGCAATTGTTTTATCATCAGTACCAGATATAAAAATATAATTTTTATACAATGTATAAAAACAATAGAAATATTAGTACAACCAAAAAATATCATGATTATGCATTTACCCTAGAAGGTTAAAATTTTTGTCCTCCCTAAATTGAACATTAAAATATCCCTAGAAATCCCTAGATAGGAATAAATGATTGCCTAATTCTGAATAAAATGATGGGATGTATTGATGGTTGCCTAATATAATAACATGGATATAAAAGAAATAATTGTTGTTTTATACCTTTATTTCAAAAACATTACATTTTTAAACGGTACATAGAATAGCGATGATTCGACTAAATTTAACAAAAACGGAATAACTAATACCACTTAATAACACTTAATTATAAAATTAATACAAAATACAACTTGAAGAGAAATGAGACGGTGAAGCCTAGAATTTTATTTATATATTTCTACGAATCCTGTAATTCACCCGATTTCTCGTGTAAATCCCCCAATTATTTACTTTATAAAAACTAAGATTTTTGTAAATTCCCTAATTTCTGCTCCAAAATTTATTTGCTTCTCCTTTCTGAAAATATATAGAAATCTATTTTTGGTAGAAATCTATTTGGTAGCACAAAATAAAGATTCCAAGAACTTGGACAGTTAGCGACATCTGTTAATGGAATCCTTAAGTAGTTTACTAGCAGTTTAATTATTTGTAATGAAAGATCGCTTATTTAACCCATGAAGGACTGGAGTTGCCATATGGCAACACTGGTATTGACGTACGAATCTTATTATTTTGAGGTTATGTTAGTTTGTTTTGTTTCCAAGAACGTGCCGGTCTGCAGAAAATAAGTGATTTGAAGATATACACCTAACAAAAACTTAATTCGTTGGTGTTTGTGAGATTTTATAGTCACCGTTTTTGATAGTTGTAAAAATGGATATAAGATTTGTGTAAGTAGCTCAATTTGTCAATTACTTCTGAATAACTATTACATCTAAGTGGCTAAAGTAACAATTATGCTCTAATAGAAAGGTCATTTTCCCTCTGTGAATATTTGACAACCCTTGAAAAAAAAGCGATCTTTTACAATATTTTGTTTTTATTCATCGCGTTGCCATATGGCAACGCTAGTATCTACAGGCATCTTGTTTTTTCAGGCGGGGTTTCTCTCTACAAGAAGCTTTGAACATGGTTTACGAAGATGACGTCAACGTTAGAAATATTTATGTTGAGCCCCCAAATATTGGAGACCTCACTGATGAAGATTCTGGCGAGGAGGATGGGGGAGGATTCATCGACAATCTGTCTAGAAAACAGCTGGAAGCAAATGTTGAGGTGCAAATGTATGGCGAAGAAGCAGACAAGGAGGATGACGACATCGAAGAAGATGCAGTTCAAGCGATGGATATTTCCCAGGAAAGCAGCGGAAGTTTCATCCCACAAACTACCTCTCAAGTGAAGAAAATTGAATACGAGTCCCTAAATTGGATAACGGGTGATTTGGTCGACAATGCCGCTAGTTTCCCAGAATATAGCTACGAACCATTCAATACGTTGACACCTGTCGAGATGTTCGAATTATTTTTCGACGAGGATATAATTAGTTACATTCTCAACCAATGCACGAGTTATGCACTACAGAACAACTTTCCCGACCCCAAAATTTCCGCAGGAGAAATGAGGTGTTTCTTTGCCATTTTGATTCTATCGGGGTATAATTGGCTCCCGGGAAAAAAATTTTACTGGGATACGAAAGGCGATATGGGTAATGCAATGGTCATGAACGCTATGCGAAGAGATCGGTTCCTTACAATTTGGCGTTTTTTCCACCTTGCAAATAATGAAGCCATCGATGAAAGGGACAAATATTACAAGATCAGACCCTTAGCTGACTATTTACAGAAAAAATATAAAGAATATTACGTCCCTGAAGGCGAATTAAATTACGACGAATCTATGGTGAAATACTTTGGACGCCACTCATGTAAACAGTTCATAAAAGGAAAGCCGATTCGTTTCGGATACAAAGTTTGGTGCCTCAACACTAAAAGTGGGTATCTTGTAAGCTTCAACATGTACCAAGGAACGATCCAAAGCAAATAATCATTATTATAAAGTTTTTGGAGCATGTGCGGCTCCATTCGTCACAATGCTCGATGAACTGCCCAATGATAAATCAAGATTACCCTACAAATTTTTCTGCGACAATTTATTTACGAGCCTCCACCTTTTGAAACATATAAAGGATCGTGGCTATAGCCTTACCGGAACAATACGGGAAAATCGCATTCCCAAAAACTGCCCTATAGAATCGAAAGCTAATATGCAGAAACGCAAAAGGGGTGATGTAGAGTCGATTCTCGAGAGAGAAACTGGTATTATAGTTGTAAGATGGTTGGATAACAGCGTCGTAAGTGTAGCGTCAACATGTTATGGGGTGGAACCACAATCGCTCGTGAAAAGATATTCACAAGCTGAAAAGAAAATCATCCAGGTTCAAAGTCCATGCCTGATTGGTAAATATAATAATGCAATGGGGGGCACCGACCTAATGGACGAAAATATAAACCGCTTTAGAATAGGAATGAGGGCAAAAAAATGGTACTGGAGCTTGATTACCTGGATGCTAGATGCGACTATACAAAATGCGTGGGTGCTACATAAAAAATCCGGCAACAAGTTGACACAGTTAGAGTTTAGGCGTGAAATTGTGCAAGCCTATCTGACCAAATACGGAGTGCCTGCAAAACAAGGTGGCCGACCGTCTAGTTCACTCTCAAGTCGTTCCTTTCATAGAGTATCTGATGATATTAGATACGATGGAGTTGGGCATTTACTGGAACCAGTACCAAATAAAAAGAAAATTAGGTGTGCAGGTGAAGAATGCAGGTCGATCATGAGAACAAGATGCGCCAAATGTGAAGTAGGTTTGTGCACAAAGTGTAATGTTAAATTTCATACACAGCTATAGAAAGTTTTTTGCCGATTATCTCTCAATTTCATAGAATATTTTTTACTTTTATTTCATTCGGTTAATGTAGCCATAGGAACCTAGCGTTGCCATTTGGCAACAGGCAATATTTTTAGGTTTTAATATATTTAATAATTATTTTTGTCTTTTTCTAAGTAAGTTTTGTCCATTCATAAGAGTTATTTGTATTATTTATGTAAAATAAAGATTTTCGAAACTTCGTCCTTCATGGGTTAATACTGTTATACGAAGTGGTTTTATACCTGCATTAAAGAAAATGTTATTATAATAGGCCTATGTATGGTAAATATTTGTGCCGTCAAAACTCGCTAGATTTTAGACTAAATATCAAAAAAATCCCGTTGTCCCTTTTATACTGAAATATCCCTAGATTTGGGATGAATCCCTAGACCTGGCAGTCTTGCTTAGTAACACGGTTTTTTGTCGGTCAACAAGCCTACACATACACACTAACCACCCAGCGTTGTCGGTCACGAATCACGACAGTTTGCTGGTTTTGTTGGAACACGCGTGGGGCGTACCTACGTTAGTGTTCATAAGTATCTGATAATTCAACTTCAACATTGTTGCCAATTTTTTACTATAATATTATTCTGTCTTTTGCACTATACCAGTTAAAAAAGTGTTGAACATCTTAAAGTATATTTAATTTGGTTTAAGTTTTACTAGTCTTACCATAGAATCTGACGTCATACCACGATTGTAATAGTCAATTTGTTTTTGATGTATATCTGTGCTTCTTTTGTTAGTTCCATTATTATAGCCAATGCGCAAACCAGGTTTGTCGCCTTGCAAGTATGTGGATATCCAGGTACTCGCTTTATCTCCACAATCAATTAAAGGTATCGTTTCTCCAAGTTGTCTAAAACAGATAAATGGTAAATAAGAATTAAACTTTCAGTATATAAAATAATTAAAAATCTATATCTATCTAAATTTAACTATCTATCTATAACATAACTATCTAAATCTATAGACGATTTTAGACGTTGCCATATCGTCTTTGGTATCTGCCTCAGTTGCAGAAGAAACGACAGGAAGATACAAGTTAGACTTATATAGGAATAAGCCATAGCTTGCCTTTTTCAGTGCATAGGCTAAATAAATGGACTACCTAAGCTCTGACGTCACACTTGAGGGGGGGGGGTTTTCAAATACCTTTCCAAACATTTCTAATTTTTGTGTATTTGTCACATAAGAAGTTGGAAATATTGGTTTTTTAAATTGTTTAAAGAATAAATAAGGACTTTTGGTTACGAACGTTCATTCTGTGCCATGGGTATTAGGTTAGGTTAGGTAAGGTTGGTTGACCTATTTGTTATTCGTGAATTTGTGAGGTAAGAATATCAAAGTATTAAGATATTTACTATTAAAGTTCATATTTTAAGGTTATATTATTGTTTGATTAAAACTTTAATTATTTTTTACTGTATTATAAGGTATTTTGTTGTTGTCTTTATCATCTTTTAACCGTCGAGTTTATACAAACTTTATTTAAAAAACTGATTACGTCCGCGCAAGTGATATTCAAAATCGCCGGTCGCTTCAAGCGTTGTTTCTGAGATAACGATTCATTTTAAACAAAAAGTGCTAATAAACCTTTTTGTTCAAAATAGTCTGGGGATAGTAAGTGGCAACTTTTTTGCATCTTTTTGGGGTCCCAAAATTAACATTATCAGCAAAATTCAGCTTGTTTGTTCCGTTTTTAGATATCAAATTTCTAACCACTAAACTAATATCGAAATTAAAATTTCTTTTCATTAGTTAATAATCTTTATACAGGGGAAGCCAGATCAGTGATGCACAGATTAATCCATAGTCAGCGACATATAAGCCAGATGCATGGTGCTGACAACAGAAAGCTAATCGAGGAGCTAAAAGCCGATATTGTGATGGATCAACCTATCGATGCAATAGCTACGAGATACAGCTTCAACAATAAGTTCACAATTAAGATACCTGACAGAGAAGACTGGAATAGTGTATCCATACAAGCTGCTGCTACCTGGTACATGGATGGTTCAAAAACATCGGAGGGTATCAAGGAATACATTTTCCGGTAAGTCTATCTAAGGATGTGACAGTTTTCCAAGCGCAAATAACGGCAATCCATCACTGCGTGGCAGAAATAGAAAGGCAGGAAGGAACGTTTCATTCAGTTGCCATCTTCACAAATAGTCAGGCAGTACTTAAGGCACTTAATTCTGTAGAGGTCAATTCTAAGATAGTATGGGATTGTGTGTGTATATCCTAAATAAACTAGAAGACCGTTTCAAGGTTACGGTAGCCTGGGTACCGGGGTAGGAGGGTCATCAAGGGCAATGAAAAAGCAGATGAAATAGCCAAACAAGGCTTATCAATGCCGTTTAAAGACAGTAACAAAAACAGTTACAAGGAAGTGGATAGCTCACAAATCTCTGGAATGGTGGAGGAATTCTCCAGAACAAAGACAGGCGAAACAGTTCATTACAGAACATTCGCCAAAATTTACGGCAGACCTAATAAGCAAGGACAGAAAAACAGTCAAAGCCATAGTAGATCTTTTAATAGGGCACTATAAGCTGAATAGGCACTTGAAGCTGATGGGATTATCAGATTATGACCTTTGCAGATTCTGTCACCTCAAAGAAGAAACAGCAGAGCGCATTCTATATCAGTGTGACAGTCTGACAAATGTGCGGTTCTTTGCAGTAGGAGAAGAAAATCCACCGGTAAATAGCTACATGGAAGGTACAGTGTCGAAACTACTAGACTTTATAAAAAGGGTCAGGCTAAAGAATGTTATCTAGGACTAGAGTACCACAATAGATCTCAAAAGGTCGCAGCGGAATAGGCCAAAAGGCCACCTTTCTAAAGTTATCTATCTATCTAACAATTTTTATGAAATCCTACTCTAAGAATATAAAATAAAAATTAATATATTTACTTAATATGTACTTCCTTTCCTGTTGGTATAGGTAGAATTAAAGTTTCCATTCCTGGAGCATGTAAAGCAATGCTGTTGGTATCATGGGATTTAACTTCAAGTAACACCAGCTTGGGAAAATGTTTAGCAGATCTATATTCGAGATAGTTCTGTTCATACACCACAAATGTTCTAAACAATAAACAAAGTATGCGTTAAATAACATAATATAATGTAAAAAATATAAGTTAACTAGTAAAGATAGACCAAAATATTATGACCATCTTTACCATATTACAATAACCCTTCGAAGCATAAATTACGATTATATTTCTTATTTTAATGACCTTTAGTATTGCTCTTACTAATTGTATAGAAAAATGAAGCACTATATTTCTTTTTTGCAAAAAATATTTGTTTTAACTTTTTTAAGTCACGATCTGAAATCACAACGCTAGTATTAATACCAACGAAAATATTTTCCTATCTTTTTTTTTGAAGCCCTTTTCTCTATTGGGATTGCCGAATATAGGTCTCTCCTAATTCTCGCCATTTATCCCTGTTGTTTGTAAAACGTTTCCACATTAGTCCTGTAGTTCTTTTAATATCGTCACTCCATCGCATTTGCGGTCTTCCTCGTGGTCTTTTGGCTTTATATGGCTTCATTCCCGATTTTCTTTATTCCATCGGCCATCCGTAAGACGTTCGTTATGTCCAGCCCATTTCCATTTCAGTTCAGCTGCCTGTTCGACAGCATCTTTTACTTTTGTTCTATTACGAATTGTTTTCATTGGTTTTTATGGTCTTTGAGTGAGATACCCAGCATCTGTCGTTCCATAGCTCTCTGAGTTTTTCTGATCTTCTCCATGTTTATTTTAGTGAATGTATAGGTTTGAGCTCCATATGTAAGCACAGGTAGGAAACAGTAATTGAACACTTTGATTCGCAGTCTTTAAGGTGGATTTTTATTTTTAAGTACGTATGAGAGTCTTCCGAAAGCTGCCTATCCCATTTTTACACGTCTTCTTATTTCGGTAGTGTGATTTTCTTTGCTCACCTTGACATTTGGACCCAGATATTATATTTATCTACTTGTTCTATCTCTGTCCTTCGATGTTTATCATAGGTTTTTCATCTTTGTTTGACATTAGTTTAGTTTTTGTTAAAATTCATTTTCAGTCCTTTTTTTAGCGATTCTGATGTGTAGCTCCTCAATCATCGTATTCAGTGCATTCCACGTATCGGCTATTAGTACTACATCATCTGCGTATCTGGGATGGTTCAAGTATCTTCCCTTAATAGGGATTCCCTTATCTTCCCAGTCTATTGACTTAAAGATATCTTCTAGCGCAGCTGTAAATAATTTTGGAGATATTGTGTCTCCTTGTCTTACTCCTCGGTTCATTTTTACTGGTCTTGTTTCGATTCAATTACCCAATGTCACTATAAATTTCAGCTTGTTCGTAAATATTATGCATTAGTATTATGTACCTGGAGTCGATCCGGTTGTTTACTAATGCTTCTTCTATTGCCCACAGTTCTACGCTATCAAAAGCTTTTTCATCATCTATAAAAGCCAGACATAATGGGAGATTGTATTCGTTAGTCTTTTTTATTAGGATTTTTAAAGTGTATAGATGGTCACTGTGACCATCTAATTGTCTAATATATCTCTCTAATAAATTGTGTTCTAGGTCCTTCTGTGGTTTTGCCTTTTCATACCGCTAGATGTCATTCCTGAGCTTCTTTCGGCACATTCATCTTTTTTCTTGAACTCTTACTTCTATTGTAAGGACAAGCCGATGGTATCTGGCTTCTCTCATTATCTAGCCGAAGTATTCAAGGGCTATGCTTTGACATCATAAGACGATTGACCATTTGTAACATTTAATCATGCCAAGACATTAGGAAAAAAGAAGGTCCCACATGGCAGAGAACAGCTTAAGATAGGGAAAGATGGAGAGAACTGGGGGAGACCTATATCCAACAATGAAAGGATAGAGAATAGGTTCAAAAAAGTCATGCCTTTCCAAAATTGGAATGTCAAGGCATCGTTACTGAAGAGTGACATTTTTAAAAAAGTTGACTAGCCACCTCAATAAAAGAACAATGAAAGAAAAATTGCATATAACGCATAGATGAAACAAAAAAGACAAAAAAGCACAGAAGGAGCGCGGAAGGACTGCGAAACAACTCTTTAGATAAGTTGTTTTGAAATTAAGAATGGCCATGATAATTGCCAACCTCCTAATGACGGACTCACTTTAAGAAGAAGATCGACGAAACAGATTTTGTTGAAACATTTTTATTAATGAGTTATACCATATTTATCTATTTCAAAAAGTTATGATGTAATGTGCCTCCAATAATTTATCAATAGAACTATTGAAGAATAAGTCTAGGGATATTTTTAGAACTAGAGTTAATTTTGTTTTCAATTGTTTTGGACAAATAATAATCGATTTGTAGTGATTAGTAGTATTTAATATTCAACAAAATTTGTTTAAAATATCAGAAATAACGAGAATACTTTTAAATACAATTAAAAAAATTTTTGGTTATCACAAAATATGGTCGTAATAAAAAAAAAAACAAAATTAATACAAAGTATGGCGTCCATCCCTTTTTATTACAGCTCTACATTTGTTGTTCATATACGAAATGAAATGTCCATTCTTTTATCTGACACTCTCGGAAACGAAACAGCGTGTATGTATATCTTACCCATATGTGAAGTTATTATTCGTTGATGGGATGCAGGTCGGGGGATTGTGATGGCTAAAGCATTTCATCAATACCTTGGTTGGCAAGCCAGTCTATCACTAGGCACGCGAAATGTGGACGAGTATTATCATGCATGAGGTGGATTTGACCATGAGAGTTTGTTGAGAGCATAAGAGTTTTGGACAAAAAACTAGAAGAAAACGAAAACTGTATTGAAAAATTTGGACATGGAGTAAGAAATGAAAGAGGAGACCTATTGGTTAACTATCCACGAAAACAACAAATGATTTGCCATAAACTCTTTCTTCAAGAAAAAGCCACATAGGAAATGGACGTGGATGTCGCCAGATGGGAACACTAAAAATGAACTACTATATGACTAAATACTACAATGATGACAATGATGATGACAAAATAAATGACTACACACTAACAACAAAAAGAACATTTTCGAAGACGTCACAGTAGTAAACTCAATCTCTAATGGTAGTGAATACAGAATGATACGGGCTAAAATAAGTATTACACACACAAAAAGATCGAAGACAATATGTGCACTCTAGGAAAAAGGTCCACCCAAAAAAATTAAAGGAGAATAAAGAACAATACTAAAACAAATTAAGAACAGCTGAAGAACTAAAACTAAAAGACCTAAATCTAGATCAACTAAACAAAGCCATCACTAAAGAACTTCTAAAGACTAGCTTAGAAGTAGCACTAGCAAAATCAGACAATTGACATCAAAACTGAGTGTCATATCTTTAGACATGCTACAACAACGGAGAAGCCTACTACAAGAAAATAAAAGAAATACAACTGAATACAAAAACCTTAATACAGAAATAAGAAGACATATAAAACAAGATCTCAAACGGCATCAAGAAGAACGAATCGAGAAGATTATATAAGAAAACAGACACTTAAGATCATAGAGATGAAAAATAAATAAGGCGCAATAGAAAAAAGCCAAACCCAAATATCTAAGATAACAAGGGAATATTATAGTGACCTCTACAGCTCTAAACAGTCCACCTGATACAACTCAACAAAACCTGAAAAAGAAAATAATGAACTTAAACTCTGAAATATTAGCCCCTATAACCGGAAAAGAAATGGAAAAAGCAATTAGAGATATGAAAAGAAATAAGGCTCCGGGAGACGATGAAATTCTAATTGAAATGTCAAAGAAGGAGGGGAAAAGATAAAAGACTACCTAAAGATAATTTTCAATAGATTTTTGTTTGAAGGACAAATACGGCAAGAGTGGAAAAAGGCATATACAATTCTTATATATAAGAAGGGAAATAAATTAAAATTAGCTAACTATAGACCAATATCTCTCTTGTCACAAATCTATAAAACTTTTACTAAGCTGATCACAACTAGACTAAACGACAAACTTGATGCATACCAACCAGTTGAGCAGGCAGGATTTAGAAAGGGGTACAGCACAACCGACCACCTTCACACTCTTAAAATATTGATAGAAAAGACCAACGAATACAACCTTCCAATATACCTAGCGTTTGTTGACTATGAAAAAGCGTTTGAACAGCATAGAACTATGGGCAGTGGAAGAAGCGCTAGTTAATTGCCAAATATATTCACGGTACAGAATGTTATTCCACAATATATATATATATAATATTATATATATATATATATATATATATATATATTATAATATATAATATATATATTATATTATGTATATGTATATATATATATATATATATATATATATATATATATATAATATATTTATATATATATCAAAACGCCACTATGAGAATTCAGCTAGACAGCGATTTGCAAACTCCATTAATTAGAATTTGTAGAGCTGTCAGACAAGGGGATACAATCTCACCCAAACTATTTACTCTGGCGTTGGAAGACATTTTTAAATCTATAGACTGGGACAATAAAGGATTTGTATAAACGAGAAATATTTAAATCATCTAAGATTCGCCGATGATGTAGTCCTGATAGCAACAACTATGGAACAACTACGAATAATGATTTCAGACCTAGAAAAAACATCTCTTGAGAAATGACTAAAAATGAATCTAAAGAAAACTAAAATAATGACTAATACAGAAGACAGATCAGTAATTAGCATAGGTGGAACAAACATAGAACACGTCCAAGAATATATTTACTTAGGACAAACTATCAGAGCAGACAAAAGTAACCAGACTAAAGAAACAATCAGAAGAATAAGAATGGGGATGGGCTGCATTCGGAAAACTCTCATATACTATCCAAAAACCAAAAAATACTTTTAAAATTAAGAACGAAGGTATTTAATGCATGCGTCCTACCTGTTCTGACATATGGTGCCAAGACGTGGACGTGTACGAAGAGCGACTTGATAGAATAAAGAAAACTCAAAGAGCTATGGAAAGACAAATGTTGGGAATATCGTTGAGAGATAAAAAGAGGAACTAGTGGATAAGATGCAAAACCGA